TTTATACACCAGCTCCCAGTGTTCTAGCTCAGCAACCTCAAGCAAGTCATTGAACCATGTAGCAACTCAATGTTCTGATCTTAAAATGAGGACATAAATGATTCCTACCTCATCAAGACTGTGCAAAGGTCATGAGGTTAAGATATGTAAAGTTATTGGAACAGTGCCTGACAAATATCACTTATTATTCATTAAATTGAGTATCTACTCTACACCAGGCATTTTACAAGTAGTAGAGAACAAAAATTTCAAGCCCTCATAGAGATTTAATTCCAAAACACAAGAGGACTACACAGTGGTGCATTGTAAGTGACAGAATGACAGAGCAGCTACTGAGGTCCCATGAGGAGCTGTCCTAGGCAATAGCTAAAGAAAAAAGGGTCTTATAGGGAACTGTTCTGAAGCCAGACCACACTTGATGTGTTTAAGCTATAGCAAAGAGCACAGTGAAAACTGTGAAAGATGTATTGTATTTTGAAGAAGAAAAATGTACAATTGTAAATTCTCTTTGAGGAAAAAAAGACTTAGGAAATTTAAAAATACTACAAAACATGCCAAAAATTTAACAAATGTTTTGTTTGGGTAATGAGACTTTGGGCAATGCATTTTCTTTTTTCTTTTCTATAATACCCAAATTTTGGCTGGACGCAGTCAGTGGCTCACACCTGTAATCCCAGCACTTTGGGAGGCCGAGGCGGGTGGATCATCCGAGCACAGGAGTTCGAAACCAGCCTAGACAACATGGTGAAGCCCCATCTCTACTGAAAATACAAAAATTAGCTGGGTGTGGTGGTGGATGCCTGTAATCCCAGCTGCTGGGGAGGCTGAGGCAGGAGAATCACTTGAACCCAGGAGGTGGAGGTTGCAGTGAGCCAAGATGTGCCACTGCACTCCAACCTAGGCAACAGAGCAAGATGCCATCTCAAAAAAATTAAAGAAAAAAAAAAAAACACGGATTATGGAGAGAGATCCAAGATGTCTGATCGTTAGTAGCTTGGGATTGTGGCTCCCAGTGAAAGTGCAGAAAACGAGAGGATGCCACACTTTTAGATGAATTTTTGTTGCTCACGGACCAGGAGATTCCCAGCGGAGGAGCCCCATGGGTTGTCACTGCGGCTCTTGTGGCCGGCACGGCAGTTCTTGGTGCAGAGTAAATGGAACTGGTTCCCCTTTTGGCTGACATTTGGAGCTCCGGGAAGGTAGAGTTGCCTTTTAAGGAAGCCAGACCAGAGATTTCTGGGCAGAAAAGCACCATCAATCTTAATGCCACTGTTTTAGCCGGTGCAGTAGGTTGCTCAGATTCCGGTGCTGGGAATCAATAAATTGGGCGTCTACTCAGAAACCTAATTAGAAAGGTGGTAATTACAAAGACGACAGATGGATAAATTTATAATGAAGGGAAGAAACCAGACTAAAAAGGCTGAGAATACCCAGAATCAGAATGCCTCTCCCTCTACAGGGGATCAGGGTTCCTCATCAGCAATGAAACAAGGCCTGATGGAGAATGACTGTGTTCCATGAACAGAAATAGGCTTCAAAAGGTGGATGATGAGAAACTTCTGGGAGTTAAAAGAACTTGTTTTAACCCAATGCAAAGAAACTAAGAACTTTGAAAAAAGGGTTGATGAAATGCTAACAAGAATAGACAATATAGAGAGGAATATAAGTGAATTAACAGAGTTGAAAAACACAACACGAGAACTTCGCAAAGTATGCACAAGTTTTAACAGCAGAATTGATCAAGCAGAAGAAAGGATATCAGAGGTTGAAGACCAATTTAATGAAATAAAATGTGAAGATAAGAATAGAGAAACAAGGATAAAAAGGTATAAGCAAAGTCTCCAAGAAATATGGGACTATGTGAAAAGACCTAATCTACGTTTGAAAGGTGTACCTGAATGCGACAAAGAGAATGAATCCAAGCTGGAAAATATTCTTCAGGATATTATTCAGGAAAACTTTCCCAACCTAGCAAGGCAGGACAATATTCAACTCCAGGCAATACAGAGACCACCACAAAGATATTCCTCAAGAAGAACAACCCCAAGGCACATAATCATTAGATTCACCAGGGTTGAAATGAAGGAGAAAATACTAAGGGTAGCCAGAGAGAAAGGTCAGGTTACCCACAAAGGGAAGCCTATCAGACTCACAGCAGATCTCTCAGCAGAAACCCTACAAGCCAGAAGAGAGTGGGGGCCAATATTTAACATCGTTAAAGAAAAGAACTTTCAGCCCAGGATTTCATATCCTGCCAAACTAAGCTTTACAATCGAAGGAAAAATAAAATCTTTTGTGAACAAGCAAGTACTCAGAGATTTTATTACCACCAGGCCTGCTTTACAAGAGCTTCTGAAAGAAGCATTACACATAGAAAGTGACAACCAGTATTAGCCTTTCTAAAAATATACCAAAAAGTAAAGAGCATCAACATAATGAAGAATTTACATCAACTAATTGGCAAAATAGCCAGCTAACATCAAGTGGCAGTAATCCTAAATTTAAATTGACTAAATCCCTTAATCCAAAGATACACCCAAAACCCATCAGTATGTTGCATCCAGACCCATCTTACATGCAAGGATAAATAAAGACTCAAAACCAAGGGATGGAGAAATATTGGTTGGCCATTATTAAGCACAATTGATGGTATAAGGGAGGTTTTCAATACCCATTTTTAGACTGTATTCTAGCCTGGGCAATTAAGTAACACTCCCGTTCTCTCTCCTTCTTCCTCTTCCTCTTTTTTCCTCTTCTTCATTCCTTTTTTTTCTTTCTTTCTCTCTTTCTTACAAAAAAATTATTATTGACTAAGTAACCCTGTTGTGGCATCAAATACTATATCTTATTAATTCTTCTGATTTTTTGTACCCTTTAACCATCCCCACCTCTCCACCACCACCCACCCACCACTCTAAAAACAAACAAACAAACAAAAAACACGAATTATAGTACTGTAGTATTTCTAAAAAATCAAAAAGGCTTTACCAGTGAAAATAATTGTAAATGAAAGAGAATTTTGATTTATACCGGATTATTTATAATATTTCCTTCATTTTGTAGCCAAAATGTATTTTTATTTTATTTAAATGTTTTAATACACACCTAACACAGTTTACTCATTATTATTCCATTCAACATTTCAACACAAAATTTTTTCTGCCTATATATTGAACACAAATTATATCTTTTCAGCTGATGGTTCACAATATAGATGTTTATCTTGTAAAATTTCTTCATGTCTTCTAAGGTGAAAAAAAATGCCATCCACTTAGCAAACATTTTTTCAACTGGGCAGTCAGCAAAAATGTTATGATAATTCACTTAATGGCTCTTTCAAAATAGATCTTTGTGCCAACAAAGTGCCAAAGAAATTGTAGAAATGGGTTCCACATCTAGGAAACAAATGATATGTCTTCACTTATGTCTAAACATTTTCATTCCTATATGTATTTCTTAAATTACATGCCTCAGCTACAACACAATTATAATTTAGCATTTCTATGTCTAATAGCCATTTTTTAAATGATTAAGTTGCCCTTTTGAATTTGACAGAAATATAACTTTTTAAGTTTACCATTTTTGCAGCATCTTTTGGTAATTTTCTTGACACAATACATCTATGCTTTAAAACATATAAAAATTAACATTTCACCATGAACCATAAACAAAGATTGCCAAAATAAAATTATTGACCATGGTTTTAAATGTCTACCCTCAAGAGGCACTTAAAATGTAGCAATGATTTTTCTGTAGTTTCTATTGCTTTGGTTCCCTTAAGAAATGAAGTATAAATCACAGAAATTCTTTACTTCTTAGAGTAGCATAGACATTTAAAAGAGAGAGAGGTATAGGAAAAGAGAAAATAAGCGTGTACATTAAGAGTAATTCAGAGCGTTAGGCACAGTGGCTTATGCCTGTAATCCCAGCACTTTGGGAGGCCAAGCCTGGTGGATCACCTGAGATCAGGAGTTTGAGATCAGCCTGGCCAACAAGACAAAACCCCATCTCTACTAAAAATACAAAAATTAGCCAGGCATGGTGGTGGATGCCTGTAATTCCAACTACTCAGGAGGCTGAGGCAGGAGAATTGCTTGAACCCAGGAGGCTGAGATTGCAGTGAGCTGAGATTGTGCAACTGCACTCCGGCCTGGGTGACAGAGTGAGAATCCGTCTAAAAAAAAAAAAAAAAAAAAAAAAAAGAGTAATTCAGAGAAATTCTTCCTTAAGTTTATTCACCTGGAATTGATAGGACAAAACATTGTTGTAAGCATTATAACTATAGATTTGCAGGGATGGGGGAATGGAGAGATCTTGAATAATTGTGAATGTATATAATTTCCTGTTGCCTCCACACTTTCTTCTATGTTCTTTTTATTTTCTTGCATTTTTACACTGCAGGTGACCTGTAGTGCAGGATTGTGATTGCTAGTGAATACAGAGGGGAGTTCTAAAATTTTTCTCTCTCATCCAACAAAATAAGTCAGTATAAAACATACTTGTCAATAAAAGCTCTGTTTTACAGCTAAAAAACTGTATATATTCTTGAAAATGAACACCAAAATTTTATTTTAGTCGATGCATGGTAAATTCTATTCTTTACAAATATTGTTACTTTCTTTTAAATTTTATATAATATTTGATATATATCATACTATTATCAACAGTGCTTATTTAAAATATTTTTACAATAAAATTATTTATGATAGTTTTTTATCTATTAAAATATCTATATATGTGCAAAAATTCTGTGTTTTATAGCTAGACATGAGACTATGGATACAAAAAGATCTTAATCATTAAGCATATTTTTACATTACATCTTTACATTTTCTGCCAACATAGTATCAGAATATTTTAAGAATAGCTCTTAACAATATTTGACATTTCAAAATACAAAATTTCTATTTTAAAACTAAATATTACTTAAAGTTATTTCCTTTTTTAAACAAATAAAAATCAACAAGAAAAAGCACTCACCCAGTTAGCAATCTTCTTACCTTCCTTTAGTCACATGTCGTACCAAGAATAAGGTATCTATTAACATTTTTCTTCTTTCCATAATTTGCCATTGATTGTGGGTATCTATCCATAAAGATAAATTACGTGAATGCCAGCATGCATAGAAATGTAATTCATAACATATAAATATTAAACCAAAACCTTAGACACCAACCAATGTCATCCCAAGAATATAACACACTTGAGGACAAGCTTGCTCTCAAGCCAACTCTATCAGCAGACACCACTTTTATTTCATGTACTCCCTTTCTCTGGCACTTCTTTTCTTCCTGCTATCACAAACATGATTTTTTTAAAAGCCACTAGCAAGTTAGTAAAAATGGCTTTAATTTATACTTGGTCTACTCATTTGCTACTGCTGCCGTAACAAAACATTACTAATGGGGCGGCTTAAATAAAAACTAATTTTCTCATGGTTCTGTTGGCTGCAAGTTTACTGAGATGCCAGTGGGGTAGGCTTTCTCTGAAGTCCTCAATAGAATCTCTTCCAGGTATTTTCTTACCTTTTAGATAACTGTTCTTTAGATTAGTGATCCCCAACCTTTTTGGCACCAGAAACTGACTTTGTGGAAGAGAATTTTTCCACACAAGTCGGGGGACAGGGGTGTTTCAGGATGAAACTGTTCCACCTGAGATCATCAAGCATTAGATTCTCATAAGGAGCCCACAAACTAGATCCCTTACAAAGTGGTTCACAAGAGGGTTCACGCTACTATGAGAACCCAATGCCTCTGGCTGATCTGACAGGAGGCAGAGCTCAGGCGATAATGCTTGCTGGCCTGCGGCTCACCTCCTGTTGTGCTGCCCAGTTCCTAACAGGCCTAGGACCAAATCTGGTCAATGGTCCAGGGGTTAGAGACCCCTGCTTTAGGTGACTGCCCTTGAGATGATTGGCCTTTTCATATAAGTCATCCACTGAGCACAAGCACCCTGGTGTCTCTCTGCATGGTCTAACCTTCCCTGTTTATAAGGACTCAGGTTGGATATTAAGTTAGGGCCCAACCTAATGGCCTCACTTTAACTTAAACACCCATTTAAAGGCTCTATCTCCAAAAATGGCCACATTCTCAGGTGCTTAGGTATGGGCTGTCACGAGTAAATTTTAGAGGGAAAGAAAGCTCACAGCACTTGGATTTAACAGTAAATTAACAAAGTGAAGACAATTAACTCAGTCAGATTCTGAAACATATCCAGTGGTGAATACATCTTTTCTCCATGATAAAAAAGAGCCATATGGCTCTGAATGGCTCTGAATTTTAATGAAAGAAATAAGAAATATATGGGTTAAGGCTAATCATAAAATAAAAATTTAAAATATAATTCCTTCATTTGGAAGTATTTTACTAATTTTTAAAAACTATTTAAGAAATATTGCCTATGCTTCCACTTTACTAAGCCATAGAATCTATGTAGATTTGACATAGAGAGCCAACAAACGATGCTACAAAGCAATACATGCTTAAGTATGTTAGATAAGCAACAGCTACTTGAGCAACAAAAGTCACAATGTCAGAAAGCTTAGTTCCTATTGCAAAAGAACAAATACTGCAAAAGGACAAAGAGAATGAGATTGTAATTTTAAAGAGTCACTTGCAGTTTTTATTAAATATTGATCATTTCCACAACCTAGAAGTAATTGCTTAGTCATTAGGAAGTTGCTTCTCTTCCCTTTCACCTCTTTGAAAAAAAAGAAAAAAATTTAATTATCTTAGAATTTTTAACATTGAAAACATGAATATATTAAGAGGACAAAAGCTTTGTGGTCAATATGTTTTATTTTAAAATTAATGATGGAGCCATTTACAAAAAGAATTTTCTGTTCTTAAAGCCATTTGGGGGAAATAAAGAAAGATTGTAAGATTTTCTTCTCATCAAACTATCGAATAATGCCTTCATAAAATTTTCTTACATAGATGTAAATAAGTTATCTTAAATATACAAGTACTGTTTTTGACCAATAGATACATTACTAAACAGATACATGTGTCTCCTAGTTTCATATACCTAAGCTTTTTAAGTAACGGGAAAAAATCCATACATGAAAGAAACAGAAGGGATCCATTTTACAGTGTGAAGAATCCTTTTATAGTTTGGATATTCACCAATAATTTACATGTTCATTTAAGTTTTTATGCACATGGCCTGCTTAAAACAAAGTACACACATTCCATATTACAAAGATGAAAACATTATTCAATTATGATTCATACATTTAATAAAAATTCTTTTGTGTCTAAACTTAAGACTAAACATCCGTATGTATATGTGATTATTTTTCTTCCTTCTCACCTATGCTTTTCATATGGAATTTATGAATAAAAAGTATTTCTAAAATGTGAATAAAGAAGTAGAATAACAAAAACTGAAAAAAATACCTACTCATAATTTTTAATTGCTCTTAAAATTATAGAGAAAATATCTTGTATGTTAGTTAAATTCATTAAGCTATAAATTATTAGCTATAAATTATAAGTTAAATTCATTCACTATATATTAAATTTCTGAACATTATATTTGATTTTCTCATTAACTATTAAAAATCAGAACTTCATATTTATACATGAAAATGGTTTTTCCCCTGGATGTAAATAGAGTGCACTTAAGAATTCTGAACACTTACCAAACTAAAGCTAGCTAATGAAATGTTAACAATAATATTAAAAACATGAATAAAATCCATACCTTAATAATATCTAAAGACAATGAAAGGATATGTGTGAATGAATCATCTTTTTCCAACTCTATCGCCTATATGTTTTATTAATGGCTATATTATAAGTGCTTAAATCCCTGTCCTGGCACACTTCCAATGCTCCTGCCTCTGGTAGTTTATTTGTATACTCCGTGCATCTGTAGCCCTTATGTTGACTGAACCCACAAACAGAGAAAATCAAAAATCCCTATACAGATTTGTATGTAATTACCCCTATATCTGAGCCTATTCCATCCTTGCACCTTGGGGCTTAGGCTTTGACCCTTATACTCAAACCCCACACAATTGTTAAAAGACATGCAGTATCACTTACACAGTAAAACCATGGAGAGAAGCATATTCCTCAGCTGTGAATCCATACACATCTTCACAAGATAATTCCACACCTTGCTGAAGAAGACTTCTTTGTAGACATCTTAGTTCACCACTGACAGCAATAATAAGAGCTGTTCTGGAGCAAGAGATAGAAATGAATGCCCATTTAAAGATCTTACACAAGTCAGTCTTCTCAGTTTAACACTCAAATGTAGGACCTCTATCAGAAGGAGTCAAGGCAAGAATGTAAAAAGTACAGCAGATCTGCTCAAAAAAGTATGCCAACCACAGATCATATAATGGGGTCTAAACATGAATGGCACCTAGGAAGCAGCTGGCTCAATCCTTTTCAATCTCTTCTCCCTGGTAGCCCAGTGTTTTAAAAAACATGTCTCAAAATTCCATGAAGGAGTGTGTCTGGGATTTTAGGTCCCCTGACCCCACATAACTACAACAGTTGGTCTTCTATGTAAGAATCTAATGTTAAATTCTAATAATAAATGATAAATGAATAATAATAACAACCAATCAACCAGGTCCAACTATTTGATTTTATAAAGGGAAAAACAAATCCTGAGAGCTAAGGTAATTTGTCCAAAAGCATGTGAGCATACATCTTATGGTTCTTATAGTTCTATATTTTCCAAATATATATATATTTGTTTTGTGTACACACACACAAACACATACACAGACACACACATACACATACACACATATGCATATAATCCTATTAGGTAGGTATAGTTATGTGCTATTTTATTTAACTTTATTAATTATACCTTTGATAGTTATATGCAGCATTCACATCAGCCCCTTTGTCCAGAAGAAATTTTAGCATTTTTGGATTACTTTTAATAACAGCAAGTAATAGTGGAGTATACCCATCCTGAAAAAATTATTTCAAAATGATTAAAATATTGTACCAAATTTTCATGTTTTTTAGATTTAAGTTCAACTTAAAATATTTGTGCATGAGAACTTCTGAATGTACACTTTAACTCTTAAAAGATTTTAACACATAATAAAATATGATTTCAAAGACCAAGAAAACAAATCAGTGTTGAGCCAAAAAAATTAAAGTTTCCATTTTAGGCTTAATTCAAATTGTAGGCAAGAGCAGCCTAGAATAAGGAAGTGATGAGCACTTAGCATTTAATGTAATTATTGCATACCATCAATTCACATTTCATAATGTTGTATGTTCAGATTTCCATTGAGTTTCATTTAAACCTCCAAGGCTGGCATTTATTTTGGCTGTCGTGTAGACAAGATATCAGTAAACTAAAGTATCATTATGCTTTCTTAAAAAATTCATCGGGTATGCATAATGCCTCAATAGAAGACTCAGATTAATTTTAATATTATGTGATGTTAATTCAACCATTATTATTAATGAGTATATTAACAAAATAGAAAAAAGGTGGGTTTTATGATTTTTATCAATACCCAGTTATAAGAGAATTAAATATTCCTCATTTGTTATGACCCTTTAAACAATTATAGTTGTTAAATATAGTCTTACTTTGTAGGTCAGAATTACAATCTGCAATAAAATACAGACAGACTTTAAGAGAAGAAAGCTTTTATCAGTTTTTTATAATCTCTTCTCTTTCTCCCCAATTTTCAGTTTGGAAAACTCATTTTTTATGTAATATGTCTTTCAACATTGATGAATTATCTGAAATACTCCAGATAATTCACTGCTTTCTAAATATAGGATTTTTTCTTTAATAGAAAATCACCTCGTTTTTAGCTTCCAGATCAGCTTTGTGTTCAAGCAGTTTTTCAACTAATGAGAAACTTTGACCATAAACAGCATAGTGAAGAGCAGTATTATAACAAAAATCCATAAGATTTGGGTCTGCACCACAGTTTAGAAGAATGTTAGCACAATCCTCCTTTTGACACTGTACTGCCTGTTAATGCAAAAAGAGTAGATGAGTAACCAATTTACTATTTGGTATATGATAAATTGATTTAATAGTATAATACTATTTAATACTATGATAAATGAGTTTAATACTATGTTTTAAGATATGAAAATCAACAAAACTAGGAGAACTCAAACACATTCCAATTGAAAAGAAAAATTGTTACATACCACAATCAATGGAGATTTGTTTTCACTATCTTGGACATTTATTTTGCATTTCTGCTCAATTAGGAAAAGTACAACATTTGTATGTCCATTAGCACAGGCCAAGTGCAAAGGTGTTCTATGTCAATAACACAAAACACAAAGTTAGAGATAAGTCTTTATTTGAGAAGTTAACTTATTTCACCCAAAAACAGATCAGATTGTACATTGGTAAGGTATTTGCTTCACGCACATATTTCTATTTAAACAAATTTACATTAATTACACTTACTTTTTATTGAACTTTCAAGACTGTGCAAGTGCGTTGAAGATCAAATATTTAACTGATTTCACTTCAAGGAAAACTTAACTGTAATGAGTTGAAAAATAGATATTTTAAAAAATATTCTTTTTATTGAACTTTCAGGGCTGTGCAAGTGTGTTGAAGATCAAATATTTAACTGATTTCACTTCAGAGAAAACTTAATGAGTTGAAAAATCGATTTTTTAAAAAATGCCAAAATGGTGTCTGGGCCTTGGAAAAGATAATAAAGTTAGGTATCACAATAAAATTTAGAAATTATATTTAAAATCTGAGATACATCTAATAGGTAACTGGAGAAAAGAATATAACTTCATCAATGACTAATAACTTAATCAAAACTTAACTATAATGAGTTGAAAAATAGATATTTTTAAAAATGAAATTTTTATTGAAATTTCAGGGCTGTGCAAGTTGTCCAATGCTATCCGTAATTGTGTGTTTGCCTTTACTTGGTGATTAAAGTTGGCATTTGTATCTGAGAAATAAAAGGTGAATGTCTAAGCATTCTCTAAGTTGTAGATCTTAACCCTAATTTAAGTTATTACCCTAATTTCTACTTCTCAGAGAACCCTATTCTAGGTAGCCTGCCAAAAACCAGATATATAGTAATGATGTGTGACAGAAGACTAATTAGATCCATTTAAATTTTGCAGTTTTTAGCCTGGACTGGCCCTTAATAAACTTTTATCTATTTCTAAGGTGATATCATGATAGCCTTGTTTTTAGATAATTTTATAATACAAAGGTCATATATAAATAACCCATGTTCCAAACAAAAAAATATATTTTCCTTGTTTCACTTTAGCCCCCCAAAGTACTCTATGCATACCTTAAATAGACCCGGTATTGACACACAGGCATTGCAAAAAGGTGACCCTCAAAAATAACTAATTAAAAATAAGGTAACTTTCAAAAAGATACACTAATAAGACCCATTAAAAAAAAGCTTATCATCTCTGGCAATAAACCAACAAAATATAAAAATAATTCAAAAAAATTGGGGAAAGCTAAATTTCTAATTAAGTTTACCTGAATGTAACTATGGAAGGCAAGACTGTAATATAACTATGATATAAAAAGCAAAATTCTATCCAATTATATTATTGTTTAGCTGAAGAGAGAGCACAATCAGGAAGAGCATGGTCACAATAAAATGAAAGTTATCCATAAATCATAATTAATTAAATTCAGATTGGAAAAGACAATCTGAATTTAAGGAACTAACAAAGAAGTACTTTATTATAGGACAAAAATAATTCATTAAACACCATGGTCTAAATTGAGTTTCCCTCAAAACTATCCACCTTCTTTACTGTCATTCCGTCCTTACCAAGCAAATTTCTATGACTAATTTCTCAGTAATCCTGATACAATGAAGCACTGATTAACCTTTTTGTTCACATCCATAATTTGGCTTCAGGATGAAATTCCTTATGTAATAGTGTTTTTAGAGCCCTCAGTCCAAACACAACACAGGGCTAAACAGTTTTAAGGCCACCAAAGATAACTCCTTGCAGTAGGTGGCAAATCCTGGCAAAGATTTTCATGTTTCTCCTTCATCTGTCATTAAATACATCTTGAGAATTTAGTTCCAAGGAACTTCAGTGGTTTCCATCCAATTTTTAGATCTGCTTCTCCCTCCAACTCCAGTTTTATCTTTTGACTACATGAGAAGCAATGAAAGATCTAAAATTGATATCCAATCATCAAAATTGAAAGAGCTGGAGGAGCAAGATAAAAAAAAACTCGAAAGCTAGCAGAAGACAAGAAATAATTAAGATCAAAGCAGAACTGAAGGAGATAGAGACACAAAAAACCCTTCCAAAAATTAATAAATCCAGGAGGTGCCTTTTTAAAAAGATCAACAAAATAGACAGACCACTAGCCAGATTAATAAAAAAGAAAAGAAAGAAGAATAAAATAGATGCAGTAAAAAATGATAAAGGGGATATCACCACCGATTTCACAGAAATACAAACAACCATCAGAGATTACTACAAACAACTCTATCCACATAAACCAGTAAACCTGGAAGAAATGGATGAATTCCCGGACACTTGCACTCTCCCAAGCCTAAACCAGGAAGATGTCAAAACCCTAAATAGGCCAGTAACAAAGGCTGAAGTTGAGGCAGCAATGAATAGCCTACCAACCAAAAAAAGCCCAGGTCCAGATGGGTTCACAGTTGAATTCTACCAGACATACAAAGAGGAGCTGGTACCACTCCTTCTGCAACTATTCCAAACAATCCAGAAAGAGGGAATCCTTCCCAAATCATTTTATTAGACCAACATCATCCTGATACCAAAACCCGGCAGAGACTCAACAAGAAAAGAAAACTTCAGGCCAATATCCATGATGAACACAATTGCAAAAATCTTCAATAAAATACTGGCAAGCCGATTGCAACAGCACATCAAAAAGCTTATCCACCATGATCAAGTAGGCTTCATCCCAGGGATGCAAGGCTGGTTCAACATACGCAAGTCTATAAATGTAATCCACCATATAAACAGAACCAAAAACAAAAAACACATCAAAAAGCTTATCCACCATGATCAAGTAGGCTTCATCCCAGGGATGCAAGGCTGGTTCAACATACGCAAGTCTATAAATGTAATCCACCATATAAACAGAACCAAAAACAAAAAACACATGATTATCTCAATAGATGCAGAGAAGACCTTTGACAAAATTCAACAGCCCTTTATGCTAAACACTCTCAATAAACTAGATATCAATGGAATGCATCTCAAAATAATAAAAGCTATTTATGACAAACCAACAGCCAATATCATACTGAATGGGCAAAAACTGGAAGCATTCCCTTTGAAGTCTGGCACTAGACAAGGTTGCTCTCTCTTACCACTCTTATTCATATAGTTTTGGAAGTTCTAGCCAGAGCAATCAGGCAAGAAAAATAAATAAAGTGCATTCAATTTATTGAAGTCATACTGTCAATAAATTGGAAGTCAAATTGTCTCTTAGCAGACCACATGATTGTATATTTAGAAGACCCCATCATCTCAGCTCAAAAATCTCCTTAAACCAATAAGCAACTTCAGCAAAGTTTCAGGATACAAAATCAATGTGCAGAAATCACAAGCATTCCTATACATCAATAACAGACTAATAGAGAGCCAAATAAAGAACAAACTGCCATTCACAATTGGTACAAAGAGAATAAAATACCTAGGAATACAACTAACAAAGTAAGTAAAGGATCTCTTGAAGGAGAGCTACAAACCACTGCTCGAGGAAATTAGAGAGGACACAAACAGATGGAAAAACATTCCATGCTCATTGTTAGGAAGAATCAATATTGTGAAAATAGCCATACTGCCCAAAGTAATTTATAGATTCAACACTATCCCCATCAAGCTACCTATAACCGTCTTCACAGAACTGGAAAAAAACACCTTAAATGTCATATGGAACCAAAAGAGAGCCCACATAGCCAAGACAATTCTAACCAAAAAGAACAAAGCTGGAGACATCATGCTGCCTGACTTCAAACTATGCTACAAGGTTACAGTAATGAAAACAGCATGTTACTGGTACCAAAACAGACCAATGGAATGGAACAGAGGCCTTGGAGGAAATGCCACACATCTACAACTATCTGATCTTTGACAAACCTGACAAAAGCAATGGGGAAAGGATTCCATGTTCAATAAATGGTGTTGGGAAATCTGCCTAGCCATGTCCAGAAAGCAGAAACTGGACCCCTTCCTGACACCGTACACTAAAATTAACTCCAGATAGATTAAAAACTTAAACATAAGACCTAACACCATAAAAACCCTAGAAGAAAACCTAGGCAAAATCATTCAGGACACAGGCATAGGCAAGGACTTCATGACTAAAACACCAAAAGCAATGGCAACAAAAGCCAAATTAGACAAATAAGATCTAATTAAACTCCAGAGCTTCTGTACAGCAAACGAAACAATCACTAGAGTGAACTGGCAACAAACAGAATGGGAAAAAATTTTTGCAATCTACCCATCTGACAAATAGCTAATATCCAGATCTGCAAAGAACTAAAACAGATTTACAAGAAAACAAACAAACAAACCCATTCAAAAGGGGGCAAAGGACATGAACAGATACTTTTCAAAAGAAGACATATATGAGGCCAACAAACATGAAAAAATGCTCATCACCGCTGGTCATTAGAGAAATGCAAATCAAAACTACATTGAGATACCATCTCGAGCCAGTTAGAAGAATGGTGATCATAAAAAAATCTGGAGACAACAGATGCTGGAGAGGAGGTGGAGAAATAGGAACACTTTTACAATGTTGGTGGGATTGTAAATTAGTGCAACTATTGTGGAAGGCAGTGTGGCAATTCTTCAAGGATCTAGAAACAGAAATGCCATTCGACCCAGCAATCCTGTTACTGGGTATATACCCATAGGATTATAAATCATTCTACTTTAAAGACACGTGCACACATATGTTCACTGTGGCATGGTTTACAATAGCAAAGACTTGGAACCAACCCAAATGTCCATCAAAGATAGACTGGATAAAGAAAATGTGGCACATATACACCATGGAATACTATGCAGCCATAAAAAACGGTGAGTTCATGTCCTATGGATGAATATGGAAACTATCATTCTCAGCAAACTGACACAAGAACAGAAAACCAAACACCACATGTTCTCACTCATAGGCAGATGTTGAACAATGAGAACACATGGACACACGGAGGGGAGCATCACACACTGCTGTCAGCTGGGGGGGCTAGGGGAAGAACAGCAAGGAGTGGGAAGAGTGGAGAGAAATAATGTGGAGAGAAATACCAGATACAGGTGATGGGGGGGATGAAGGTGGTAAACCACCTTTCTATGTGTGTACCTATGCAACAATCCTGCATGATTTGCACATGTACCCCAGAATCTAAAGTACAATTAAAAAAAAAAAAGACATATAGCTAAAGCTTTAACAGGTGCTTTAAACCCAACAATGGGCTGGACATATCTACATTAAAAACTCTCCTGGAAAACCTCCATTTCAATAACAGGTACAGTGCTAAGGGTAGAGGAATTGAAGAAGAGGGAAGCAAATGGGAATAGCCATTATGTTCTTCTTTAGGCTGATGTAATTACATCTCTGTTTGCAATAAAACTTGGGAGCAATAATATAAACTAAAGTCTTAAATTGGGAGTATAATATATTGACAAAAGTTAAGGATTTTTTGACAAATAGAATATTGATTTTAAAATGTTTCTCTAAGATATCTGTAAATATACTTTTTGCATTCAACTGTTCCAAAAAATAGAAACATTTTGTTTTTGTTTTTGACATTAGGTGGAAAAACATTCATATTGGCCTCAAAGCATTTACATTATATGTGTAAACATATAAATAAGTGGCCACAACAAAACTTTTTTTTGCTGCTTGCTCCAATTGTGAGCTCTAAAATTTAGAATAAAATGAATGTAAATGTTAACTCTGTATGTCTTTAAAAAAATTTTTTTTAAACTAAGATGACTTCTTTAAAAGGATGTCAAATATTCTAAGTAAAATCCTTCTTTGCAAGATTCTCTTGACAGTTTGAGTGAATACGATGAACCTTTTAGTGCTTCGTGCATGGGCAACCTAGATTAGTTCTTGTTTTCAGATTTTGTGCAAATGACCCCGGGCTATATTGTTTAATACTTCCTTAGAAAGGGGAATCTTTCATGGCTATTTTATTTTACTGAATTTGCAGCTGATTTCCTAAGTTCTTAGTGCTTAATATGGGCCATGAAATTTATGAGATTTGTTACTGAAGGCTTTAGAGTCAAGTTGGTGGAAGAGTGAGGTATACAGCGGATGCAGCAGACATTTTTGGAGGACCTATTGCGAATCTATTTACTTTCTTTCCGTAAGAGTAGTGTGTGAGTGTGTGTGTGTGTGATTGTATTTTATTTTTATTTTTTTACAAAATTGAACTTTATTAAGTATTTCCATTTCATTGAGTAAGGCCTTAATCTATGGGACCAAGATCAGGAAAAACATTTATTTCTCTCAGGCTGTGTATTTTCTGGGGCTGTTAACACACGACTTTATTTGCATTTTTTTACTACATATATTTTCATTTTTATTTGATTACTTTTTATGTTTTTTCTTCACATTTGTTTTTTCATGTTCATATATAAACTGTCATAGTATTTCTTAGACATCATTAATGGATAGTAATCTTAATTTTTTTTAAATATATATTTTGTTGCACTTTAGGTTCTGGGGTACATGTGAAGAACATGCAGGATTGTTGCATAGGTACATACATGACAAGGCGGTCTTCTTATGCTAGTTCCCCTGTCCTTTTTCTTGACCAGAAATTCCAACTTTCAGTATTATTGTTCTTACTAGAAAACATATCTATTTTTCTATTAGGCTATTAATATGCACATACACTTTCATGAGACCTCAGAGACCTTCAGCGAAATGTTTCCAAAATGAGTCTATGAAACATTTGATAAAACACTGTGATTTACCTTATTAAAAATTCAAACAAAACAAATAGTTCTCAATAACCATCTCACTCTATCCACTTTCCTCTGCCCACATTTCATGTCTGTAAGAAACAGTGATTTAAGTATATGTCCTTTAAGATTTTATCTTTCTCATTTTCAATCTCTCTCTCTACACACACAGACACACACGTTCGAACAGAAATATACTATGAGATTTTTTTCATTCACCTTTATTGAGGAATAATTTATAATAAAATTATACAATTTTATGAATTTTGACCAGTCAATTTATGGTTAATAGTCAATTCTTTCCCATCCCCCATATCTGAACCACTGGTAACTAGTAATTTGCATCATGTCACCTTATTTTTTTTTAGATTTGGGGTGCACATATGCAGATTTGTTACATGGGTTTCTTGCATAATGTTGACTTTCTGCTGAATTCATTACCCAAACAGTGAACATAGTATTTCATAGGCAGTTTTCAACTCTCATGCCCATCCCACCCTTCCCCCATTTGGAGTTCCTAGTATCTATTATTTCCACCTTAATATCCATGTGATAGAGATAATTTCACATCGTCTGTTTCAATTTGGATGCTTTTTATTTCTTTCTCTTGCCTTATTTTTCTGGCTAGGACTTCCAGTACTATGCTGGATAGGAATTGTGAGAGCAGAGAGTAGATATCTTTGTCTTATTCCAGTTATTAGGAGGAATGCTTTCAACTTTTCCACATTCAGAATGATGTTGGTTGTGTGTTTGTTATAGATGGCCCTTATTATTTTGAGTTATGTTCCTTTGATGCCTAGTTTGTTGAGGGTTTTTACAACGAAAGGATGTTGAATTTTATCAAATGCTTTTTCTGTAACTTTTGAGATGATCATCTGGTTTTTGTTTTTAATTCTATGTAATGAATCACATTTGTTGATTTGCATATGTTGAACCATCCTTGTATACCTGAAATAAAACCCTCTTGATTGTGTTGAATTAGCTGTTTGATATACCACTGGATTTGGTTTGCTAGTATTTTGCTGATTTTTGTTTCTTACATTCATCAGGAATATTGGACTGTAGTTTGCTTTGTTGTTTCCTGTATGCTACTATGCCTTTACCTTTTCTATAATTTCATGTAAATGTAGTCATTTGTGCCTGGTTTCTTTCAGTTAGCATGACACTTTTGAGATTCATCCATATTTTTGCATACATCCATAATTCATTGCTTTTATTGCTGAATAGTACCTTTAAATTATCCCATTTATATGTGTATGTATGTATGTATTCATCCTTTCATTCACTTATTGTAAAGATATTAAGCACTCACTATGGTTAAGCAGGGTTCTAGGTGATGAAGATATATCAGCGAATAAAACATAGGTAAACACATTCTTTTATAAATCATACATGTTAGAAGAGGTAAACAAAACAACTTAAAAGATACAAAGTACATCAGACAATATTAAGTTCTAATGAGAAAAGCAGGGAAGAAGTGTAGGAAATGCCAGTGAGGGAAAAAGGGTACAACTGTAGATAAAGAATAGCTAGGGAAGGCCTCACTAGTAAGGTAACAATTGAATAACACCTAAAGGAAATGAAAGAGCAAGTCATATGACTGAGGGAAAAGCACCCCAGGCAGAGGACCAGCAAGTCCAAAAACCCTAAATGCATATCTTGCACTTCTGTGAAACAGTAAGAAGGCAGTGTAGCTGGAGGTAAACGAATGAAAGGGTCATAGGCTGTAAGATCAGAGAAGTAAACAGGGTGAGGATGAAAGAAATTACCTAGCCGTAATAAAGGCTATGCATGAAAGTCCATAGCTAACATCATGTTCAATAATAAAAAAAAAATGGAAAGCTTTTCCTCTAAGATCAACAACTAGGAAAGGATGATAACTTCAATTAGCCATAGTATTGGAGTCCCAGCCAGAGGAAATAGGCAAGACAGGAAATAAAAAACATCCAAATCAGAAAGAAAGAAGCAAAACTGTTTGTTTGCAAATGACATGATCTTAGACCCAGAAATGGGAAGTTACCATCGAAGGACAAGTTTCAGTCAAGCAACATAAGCTCTAGAGATCTGTTGTAAAACATTGTACCTATAATCAACAGTGATATATTAACACTTAAAAATCTTTTAAGATGGGAAAAAAAAAACATCAAAAGAGAATAGATACCATGTTGAGTGCTCTTATAAAAATAACTGTCCAGCATAAAATTCACACATTTTTTGGCAGATGAGAATTTGACTAAACATCGAGTTCAAATGCCCGTTTTGAAGCAGCTATTGTGTTCTCAAGTATGCCGAGATAGAGCCTACAAACTGTGCTTGTTATAAAGCTAACCTGGGTATGCAGCTACCTGGGGAGTCCCTCTATTTGTCAACCCCAGCTCAATAGGAACTCTGAGTTTAGAGATTCTCAAAGTCTCTTTTAAATTGTAACTAAAGTAAGGACAGTGGTGTAACAGAGTTCATATTGCTGACTGTGATGTATCAAGGCCCAAGGGGCTAAAGGGACCTTTGTGACTTGACAAGTTCAATGGTAATGAGTGTGGTTAATGACTAGTTTGGCTTATTCATCATGTTATCCCAGAATCTGAAACATTTATACAGTCATTACCCATATTTGCAGCATATATTTGGAGAGAAAATGAGTTCAGATTTAAGCAAATTGGTGAAGAGGAATGAGTAGCAAAGAAGGGAAAAGAAAATCATCCTCTGTCCAAATAAGTTTTTTAAGTATCAATAAACTCAGCAAGTTTCTTTTTCAAAACATTAGAAAGTTACTTGTTTTGATGTTTCTAAGTGTTAAAATCTGACAAACCAACGTTCTAGGGAGTCACCTCTTTTCCTGTTCTCCCATTAGCAAAATTGTACAGCTTAGTGCCTGGAGACAATCAATACTAAGGAGCAAAACAGCAAGGTGGGGAGAAGATGGACTGCCCAGTGGAGACTAAGGCGGTGAGAAGAGGGGATGGATTCAGGAAAGGCAGAAAACATTCAAATAAGCATATTTTAAAAATTAAATACAAAGCCGAAAGTTAGAGTGGGACCTTCTGCCAATGGTTACCATGCAATCTCTCTTCTCTGAGAAACCTGGAGCGACAATCGGTGTCAAACAGCCCCTACTTGTATTGTTTCTGGTTGGAGGACCCGCCCCAGCCCATCCTCCCCCACTGGCTGTTAGCTCTGGTCACCTGTATTGTTCGTCCTGCGAGTTCACATCATATTTCTTGACCTGAATGTATTTCTTCAGCTTCTTCAAATCCCCGAGTGAAGCAGCTCTGTGAAGTTTCTTTACATCCTTATCTAGAAGCCTGTAGCCCCGGCCTATGGGCAGGTCTGAGGAGGTAAGGCTCTGGGTCTCATTCCTCCTTTTCCAGCGGCTGAAAAGCTTATTCATGGCGGCGCAGGCTGCAGTCTTTCCGTCACACCAGGCTGTTCTTTAGGCTCCTAGCCGTCCGCCCTGCCCCTCTGCACTGGCACCTGGCTCGCAGCTTTCTCCAGTCCCTGATAAAAGTGGAAATGCTGGAAGGGCCTCGCACAGCCAGCCGTTATGGCGGTTATGGTTGTTACGTCGGTTATGGTCGTTAATGGCTGTTAGGGTCATTATGATCCAGTCCTCGGGGCTCGCAGACCTTCATTCTCACCTGGGACTTGGGCCTGATGGCCACACCTGCAGTTTTCCTATTAGATCATGAACCTTAGAATAGAGAGTTACTAGCTTTCTTACAAATAGCCCCTTCTCCTTCAAAAATAGATCTAAAGGATTGAAGTCTTGCAAACTGATACTTACCTTCCTTGTGATGGGGATAGGGATGGATCTTTTCCAGTGATCTTGCATCCAACCTACTCCCAGCCTCTCACCTCCCAGGCTACATGCTACAAATTGTCTTCATAATAACTGCAATTCCTCAGTAATCTCAATTTCACACACTTTTTAAACATCACTTCTCATATTCCACCTCACTTTGTCTAGTCACAAAACTCCAAAAGTCCTTTCAAAATCTAATTCACTGTACCTATACTCGGTTAGTCTTAACCTCTTTTCCCTGACTTGAACCACCACACCCTGAGTCTTCACTTTACTACTTAACTAAATTTCAGGACCAATCGTCATAATCATTCCCATGCAGAAACCTTCAATAAGATTTCCCCCCTTCCTTTTCTTATCTATCTGTCCCTAAACCAAAACCCTAAACTGTTTGTTCTGCCCTAAACCACTGAAATGTGACCAAAGGAAAAAACACAGTCCTGCCATCTTTCATGTCCATTTCATAAAAATCCACCTCAAGTGGTCTGTTATTCTTCCTTTCTCTTCACACCTCCTTGGCTCATGGCCTTTTTTCCTGAACCACTGAGCAAAAGATCCAATCAGAAGAGAAACTCTACCAGCTCCCAAGATATCTACCCACTTATCTGAACCTTGCAAAAACAAAATAACTTTATCGCTCTCTTTTTCATATATGATGAACATGTATGTTCATATGTTCATGTTCTTAGCAAAGGTCAGCACCATTCTTGAATGTACTAGACCCCATCCTCTCTAGCCTATCCAAAAACATTATTCAGTAAACTCTTCTTCCCTGCTTTCATATATATTTTTAAAGTTTCCCTCTCTGCTAATTCTTATTAGCATAAATACATACTGGTATCTGCCTCATCCTAAAAAAAAGTAAACAGGAAGATTGACCACATCTCCCCCTGAAACCATTACCTCAATGGCTCTCTTTTGTGGCAAAATTCCTCAGTAGGATTGTCTAAAATTTTATAATCTTTGTCTACAATTTTCCTCCCTCTGTTCTGACTTAAAGCAGTTCGCATCATTGCCTTTTTGCTCCTATTACTCACTTGACCCTACTTTTAAGCCATATTGACCATGATCTCTATTACATGAAAGCAAATGGTCATTTCTGAGTTTTTGTGTAAATACAGCAGCATTTGACACAGCTGACCATTGCTTACGCCTTGAAACTTTTGTTTTTTTGCTTGGCTTCCAAGATATATTACTTGCCTGATTTGATTTCTGCCTTTTTAAACATTTTCTCTCAATCCAATTTATCGGTTCTTCTTTACCTTCAATTATTGGAAATCCCTGGAGTCAGTCCACCAGCAGCTTTTTTTATTCTTTCCAAATCCTTAAAGGCAGTCTCACATTTTATCTTTTATATCTACATTTAGACAATCAGTAAATCCTGTCAATTGTAACTACAAAATATATTCAGAAAATTTTTAATTTCACCTATATTCCCTTCTGTGTTACCACAGTCCTATGGCTTTAAATGCCATCTATATGCTACTGACACTCAAATTGAGAGTTCCAGTATGGTCTCTCTCCTGAACTCCCAACTGGTATATCCACTTGCCTATTCAATACCTGAATTTAGTTGTTTATATTATAGACTCAATAAACATCTCACTCTAAACATGTCTAAACTGGTCACCTCACCTTCCATTCTCTTACTATCTTTCCTACTTGGGATCGAGTAACACTATTCTCCTAGTTGCTCAAGGCAAAATCTTTGATGTCATCCTTGACTTTTCTTTCTCAAAGGCCACATCTAATCAGTTAGCAAACCCTGACAGCACTGTTTCCAAAATATAAACAGAATTTGACCACTGCTGTCAATGTTGCCCAAGCCAACATCATCTCTCTCATTTGCAATACCTTACTTTAATATTTATACTAGAATCCTAACTGATCTTCATATCTTCATGCTTCCGCCCTTGTACACTGCTATTGCCCTGGTCTATTCTCAACCTAGCCACCTAAATTATCGAGTTAACATATTGTTAGATGAAGTTACTTATTTGCAAAAACTTTCCAATGGTTTCTCAAATTCCTAACAGTAAGAGCTAAATTTCTTATACTGATCCACATGGCCCTATACAATCTGCGACCCCAATCCTATGCACCCTGCCCCAACCTTTTACTTTTCTGATCTAAAGTTTTTCTCACCTAAACTCAAATTGCTTCAACCATGGTGATTTCCTTATTCCCCGGAACACTAGGCATGTTTCTGTCTCAGGGACCCTGACCTTGTTGCTCCCCTTTCCTGTAATGCTGGTCCTGCCACAATAATATAAACTCTGAAAAGGCAGCCATTTTTGTATGGTTTATTCCAGGCTACCTCTCAGCTCTCAGAACAGAGCTGGGCGCATTAAGGGCTCAATAAATGTATGTCAAATGAATGGAAAAGGATATGAAAAGTAACCTCTGCTTATATTAGCCTTTTCAATTCTTGGATGCAATTTTGGGCACAGAACTTTTCCTGAACTCAAACTTTTCCTACTATGGAACAAAGTTAAAAAACAGCCTGTAGTATTTAATAAAATACTTGAGGGTGCCAGATGAAATGAGACTACAGAACTTAACATAAAACTGGCCCACCAAATATGCCTGCTTTCCAAGACCCCAGACTCCAGTGCATCTCCATGAGCACTTCCAGAAGGCAGGGTCCTGGCCAAGGGAGAGTGACAGTTTCTATTCTACCCTGAGGGTGCTCCTGAGAGCAGGAATCTTTAAAGAGCAATGCATAACACTCAAGTGATTAAAATCAGTGATTACCCTGGATGGGGAAAAAAGTGTCAGAACTTCTTCATACCTATTTTTAAAACTTCCCTTGAAAATCATTGTATATGCTCTATAATAGACATGATATATTAGTGTATTGACACATGAACTCATATATTTAGCATATAAATCAAAAGAATACAATCATGTGCCTCATAATGACATTTTGGTCAACAAGGGACTGCATATACAATTATGGGCCCACAAGATAGTAATGGAGCTGAAAAATTTTTGTTGCCTGATGATGTCTTGGATGTATCGATAGTCCTGACCCTCTCTAGGCCTGAACTAATATGCACATTTGTGTCTCACTTTTTGACAGGAAAATTTAAAAAGAAAAAGAAACTTGCAGAATAAGGATATAAAAATAGAAAATATTTTTGTGCAGTTGTACAATGTGTGTTTTAAGCTAAGTGTTATAAAAAATTCAAAAGGTCAAAAAATTTAAGTTTATAAAGTAAAAAAAAGATGACAGTATGCTAAGGTTAATTTATTACTGAAGAAAGAAACATTTTTTTTTTCTTTGAGTCTGAGTCTCATTCTGTCACCCAGGCTGGAGTGCAGTGGCACAATCTCAGCTCACTGCAACCTCTACCTCCTGGGTTCAAGCGATTCTCCTGCCTCAGCTTCCTGAGTAGCTGGGATTACAGGCGCACACCACCACGCACGGCTAATTTTTGTATTTTTAGTAGAGGCGGGGGTTTCACTACGTTGGTCAGGCTGGTCTCGAACTCCTGACTTTGTGATCTGCCTGCCTCGGCCTCCCAAAGTGCTGGGATTACAGATGTGAGCCACCACGCCCAGCCTGAAAAATATTTTTCTATAAATTTAGTGTAGCCTAAATGCACAGTGCTTATAGAGTCTACAGCAGTGTACGGTCATGTCCAAGGCCTTCAAATTTGTTCACCACTCACTCACTGACACACCCAGATCAACTTTTGGTCCTGCAAGATCCATTTATGGTAAGTGCCCAACACATGTGCAACATGTTTATCTTTTACACTCTATTTTTACTGTACCTCTTCTCTGTTTAGACAGTTTAGATACACACATTGTGTTATAACTGCCTACAGTATTCAGTACAGTAACATGATGTAAAGGTTTGTACCTTATACGCTACAAGAAAAACAAAAAGAGAGCTCTACGGCTCTCGTCCCCGCCCTCCTGCCACCTGCAGTCGCCTCGGCCGCACCCTGCCCGGCCCTGCTTTGCGCCACCCTGAACTGTCCAGCCTGAGGGGTCAGGCGGAGAGCCGGGCCGCGCCCGTCGGCCAACTTCTCTCACTGCCACCCGCGCCGCCTAGCGAGACCTGGGGCTGGGCCGGGCCCGCCGCGGCGCAGCAGGAAGGGAGCGGCAGCCGCGGAGAACGCCCCGCCGGACCGTGTGGCTGGCGGCCCTGCCTGGGCGCGGAGGGCGACGGTGGCGGGCCCCGCGGCCTTCTTTCAGGTACCCCAGTCCCGACTGACCACCCTGAGCCGCCCAGCCCCTTCCCCGACCCGCACCGCGGGGCCGTGGCGTAGGGGTCTTTTTGCATTTAAGCTTGCGGGTAGCGGCGGGGCGGGGCGGTGACCCCGGGCCGGAGGTCGTGGCCTCACCCCTCCCACCCTTCCTTCTCATCGCTTCCTCCCGCCTTGGCGACTGTCTCCACAGTCCGGAGCCCGGCGGAGCCCGGACCTGGCGGGGAGAGCTGCATCCACGGCCCGGCACCCAGACCCCGCCGCCGCCGTCGCCACCACTTCAGCCCATCCTTGGTACCGGCAATGCCCTTTGTATCGCCCAGTGCACTTGTGATTGACTTGGACACGGAATACTAAGAACTAATTTCTCTCCGCATCCCAGTCGCGCGGGCGGTGACCACCTCGGCTCTTTTGGGCTTAGCTGCTGCTCCTCTTGACTCTGTCCGACTTTGGGGCACCATGGACCAAAGTGGGATGGAGATTCCCATGACCCTCATCATTAAAGCATCGAATCAGAAATACAGTGACCAGACTATTAGCTGCTTCTTGAACTGGACCGTGGGGAAATTAAAAACTTACCTCTCAAACGTTTACCCTAGCAAACCTTTGACGAAGGATCAAAGATTGGTGTATTCGGGCAGACTGCTTCCCGATCATCTGCAGCTGAAAGACATTCTCAGAAAACAAGATGAGTATCATATGGTTCATCTAGTATGTACTTCTCAGACTCCTCCCAGTTCTCCAAAATCCAGCACCAATAGAGAAAGTCGTGAAGCACTGGCATCCAGCAGCAATTCTAGTTCAGATCATTCAGGATCAACAGCTCCATCATCCAGTCAAGAAACCTTGTCCTTAGCTGCCAGTTCTTCCTCGGAAGGATTGAGGCAGCATACCCTCCCACAAGTACAAACTGACGCAGCACAGTCATCAGTTTCCATATGTAATGCAAGGAAATGTAGACAACCAGTTTCCTGGGCAAGCTGCTCCACCTGGATTCCCAGTGTACCCCGCATTTAGCCCACTGCAGATGCTGTGGTGGCAACAGATGTATGCTCATCAGTATTATATGCAGTATCAAGCTGCAGTTTCAGCTCAGGCCACATCAAATGTCAACCCAACCCAGCCTACTGCTTCACAGCCTCTAAATTTTGCACATGTTCCTGGAGAAGAACCCCCACCAGCTCCAAACCTAGTGGCCCAAGAAAATCAACCCATGAATGAGAATGTTCAAATGAATGCACAGGGAGGCCCAGTACTAAATGAAGAAGACATCAATGGAGACTGGCTAGACTGGATGTACACGTTCTCACGAGCTGTGATTCTCCTTGGCATTGTATACTTCTATTCTTCTTTTAGTCAGTTTATCATGGTAATGGGAGCCATGCTACCGGTTTATTTACACCAAGCTGGATGGTTCCCTTTTAGGCAAGAAGGAGGTCATCAGCAGGCTCCCAACAATAATCCTGAAGTTAACAATGATGGGCAAAATGCAAACAACTTGGAACTTGAAGAAATGAAGCGTCTTATGGATGATGGGCTTGAAGATGAGAATGGAGAAGATGCAGGTGAAGATGCCAGTGCAATTCAGAGGCCTGAATTAATGGCTTCAGCTTGGTCTTTCATTACCACCTTCTTTACTTCACTAATACCAGAGGGGCCTCCCCAGGTTGCCAATTGACCTGAAAAACTGTGCCAGCTACAAGGAGGGTCTGACTTTAGGAAAGAGGTTTAAATAACAGTGCAATTTCAAAAAAATTTATAACTTTCTTTTGATCATCACGTACAGAGGTGTTTTTTTTCTTTAGGCTTCTCATGTATATGAATATTTTAAGCACAAATGGACTACTAAATGTTTGGGGTTTTTTTTAAGATCCTAACAGAACATAGTGTAACAATATTGGTCTTCCAGGTATTATTCATTTCAGTTTTGTGTAGTATACCAAGCCGGACCTCTTTTCATGTCTTATTCTTTAAAAAGTTGCTTTATTGGCCGGGCGACATGGCTCACGTCTGTAATCCCAGCACTTTGGGAGGCCAAGGTGGGTGGATCATCTGAGGTCAGGAGTTTGACACCAACCTGACAAACATGGTGAAACCCCGTCTCTACTAAAAATATAAAAAAATTAGCCAGGTATGGTGGCACGTACCTGTAATCCCAGCTATTCAGGAGGCTTAGGCAGGAGAATTGCTTGAATCCAGGAGGTAGAGGTTGCAGTGAGCTGAGATTGGGCCATTGCACTCCAGCCTGGGCAACAGAGTGAGATTCAATCTTAAAAACAAAAAAGGAGCTGCTTCACATATAAATGTCTATAGCTAGTAGCCCAGCCCTTTAATGTTTAATTTGAATAAATATATCTATTTTCTGTGAATTATCTTGAAAGTTTTAAACAGAATGACCTCATAGTTTTTAATAGAGGATATTATTTACCTGAAATGTGCTAGTAGCATCTTGCCAAGCCATAAAGCAATAAACTTCTCAATAATCTTAATTTTGACATTTGAATAAGTAATGGAAAGTTTCTATTTTAAGGGCATGTATCCCATCAATTGGAATCAGTACCTTAACAGAAAAATGCAGCTCTTCAATGGAATTAATGTGATACAAAATGTTTGATACAGGCAGTACTTTTATAAAATAAGATATTCTAGAAATTGCTCCCTATAATTTTTTAAATAAAAAGTCAATTATGGTAAACATTAAAAAAACACATATATCCTAGGTGTGTAGTAGGCTATACCATCTAGGTTTGTGTAAGTGCACTCTATGATTTTCATGAAATGACAAAAATCACCTAACAAATATTTATCAGATAATATCCCTGTTGTTAAGTGGCACATGACTGTACATATGAACGTGTTTTGTTTTGCTTTTCCAAGGCTATCAACTTAGAGAGTATGCCCTCATTCGTGTCTTAGAATCTTCCAAGTCCAGGACTAAGAAACTAGTGAATTGTTCTACCATGTGATAATGACCCATAACTCAATCCTTCATTTCCTATTCCAGGATAAGTCTTTTATTTGGATGATTGATTTTTAAAAATCCACTATGTTTAGGGCAATATCCGCTCCACCTGACAGAACAAGTCATCAGAATATAGCAGTCCAACATTTATACCAGAGATATGAAGACATATGAAAGGATTAGTTCCCCCAGGAGCTCTCTTCCATCTCTCCTATTTGGAACTACTCTCTCCTATTTCTTCTACCTTAATTTAGTCTCTTTATCTCTTGCCTAGATTACTTCTATGACCTTTTAAATAGCTTCTGTACCTTCACTTTAAACATCATTCAAAGAATGGTGAGCTGGAGGTGACTCATATCATACTGAGGGTCCAATTGCTAAATACACGAAAACTGTTGGAAGCTTACGCTCAGAAATGAGAGTAGTTACATAATGGAAATTGGCAAGAACTACAAATCAGGGCTTATGTTCAATATCTATATTATGCTTCCTTTAAGAATTATAAAAAACAGACAATATAAATTTAGAAAGAATAATAATTGAAATCAACTGTTTAGAGTATCCATGCAAGATTTATGAAAAAAAAAAAAAGATTCTGAATAAAAATGGCAATAAGTTTAAAGTGATAGGTTATTTAAAGGTTGTTTTTCACATTTATTTATGGTTACTATTTTTGTCTTTTTTCCATCAGTTTTCCTATTTCTACAATTAACATTAATACTTATATACAAAATTGTCCTAAAAGTTTAGTATAAAGAAAGTGTTTATACTTGGGAAGTACAGGAACAGAAATCTCAGAAACCTAAAGATTATATCTTCTTTGTTACAATGTTAGTGGTTTCTTTGAATTAAGAAATATATTATTCCTTTTCCGAATTAAAGAATATATTTTGACTATACCCTGTAGATTCTACAAAGATTAGAACTGAGTCCTATTTAAGAAAATTGAACATTAAAAATAGCAAAATTATGAGCTATTTCTATACCAAAATTATTACTTTTCTTTCTGAATTTTTAAAAAATAGTTCTCCATGGCTTTTATCCATTCTTTCATTCATACATACATCAGAGGTGAATTGAGCCCTACTGGGACATTTACTCCCATTTCTCAGGACCCCTCCAGCTATAAACAATTTTGATCTACTTCTGGTCAGTGGGATTGAAAAATGTAAAGGTATTAGTACTAAGTACCAATTGAAGGTTTCTCTGTTTCTCTTCAAAGTAAAGCTTTTCTGAATAATGGCCATTGCACTAGAGAATCAAAGCTTTATTTACAATATTATTAAATTCTAGGTTAGTCACTGAAAATATCTGATGTGTGTATATTTTATGAAAGTATTCCTCTACTGAGTTTAAATGTCACTTGACTATAATGAGAGTTCCCTGATCTACTGACACTTACATCCTTTCAGATCTCTATTTCTTATCTTCTCCATCTATCTATCTCCTACTCTGATGACTTTGTATTTCACTGAAGAGAAATGCAAGCAGAAGGCAACTTACACAGGCTTCCAGGACCACACGGATCCTCTTCCCTGCACCTTGCCTATTGTTCCTTTTTTCCTTTTACTGTGGATGAAATGTTTCTACTTCTAAGTAGGCCCCCCACTTTGATGAAAACTTTCCAAAAGATCTTTACTTTCTGCAAGTCAAAACTCCTCTATAAAAGGAGACAGATCATCACCTCTTAACTTCTCAAGGATATTGCTCCACCAATTCTCTCTTTTCTGATTTCAATACGATGTTTTCTTTTTCCTTTATTCGATAGATACTGTAATTTCTCAATGCTTTATAGTGTGCTCATGCACACACACACACACACACACACACACACACACACAGCTGCTGCCTATATCTCATTTTCGCTTAGCATAAAAATTCCTTGATGGAGTTGAGTGAATGATTTTTCTAGTTTTTCTCCTCACATTCTTTCTTGAACGCTTCCACCTAATTTCTGTTCTTTCAAGGAGATAACACTTCTGCCCTACAGGACTGCCCATCAGAACCTAGAGCCCAGGAGAGCTACAATTATAGTGAGAGATACACAGACATATAGAAGAGTAATATTGCCTTCTATCTCTAACGAGCTGTTGTTCATCTTTTCTCTTTTTCCTTTGTCTCCCACTCCTGTTGCCTTAGTCCAGGCTCTTCTTTGTTCTTTAAACTATTACAACAGACATCTAAATGATCACTGGGCCACAACTTTTACAACTCACTCTCGCCCATCCTCCACACTGCTGCCAGTGTTAACTTTATAAAAACTTCAATGAAAACTTTCCAATAGATCTTCACTTCCTACAAGTCAAAATATAAACATGTAGCCTGATGTAACATAGACCAATTGCCCCAAACCCTGTAACACATGATCTTGAAATAACACAGAAAAGATAGAGCTAGTTTGGAGTATTTTTCAGATAATCTATTGAGCTCTTGATGTCTGCTTATCTTATAGGACTAGGCTGTGCCTAGCCGAGAGAAGAAACCTTTTAGATAATTCTTACATAGATATTTCTTTCAAACATGGATCAAATTGTGCCACTCTCCTTGCTTAAAACTCTACATTATTTCTTTATGGAGAAAAATGAAAATTCTTAGAAGTCTATTTAAGTTTTGACATAATCTATGTTCTGAGTATATCTTTAAACCACTCTCCACTGCTCATTTGTGCTCATGCCACAAACCATTTGTGATCTCAGGGCTCTCACACATGCTGTTCTCTCCGCCTGGGACACATTTTAGCTTCAGTTTTGTACTATGAGTGTTTTTTTCTCCATGGTGTAAAAGAGTAAATGTAAGAAGCAGCAGCTTTTCCTGGAGGAGGAGAGAATTTTGATTTAGATGATTTCCTAACAGCTAGCAGCAGTCAGTCTAAAGTGAGGACTAAAAATAAAATCCTAGGCTGGGCACGGTGGCTCACACCTGTAATTTCAGCACTTTGGGAGGCCGAGGCCGGTGGATCACGAGGTCAGGAGTTTGAGACCAGCCTGGCCAACATGGTGAAACCCCATTTCTACTAAAAGTACAAAAATTAGCCAGGCATGATGGCAGCACTTGTAATCACGCTACTTTGGAGGCTGAGGCAGAAGAATCAATTGAACCCAGGAGGTGGAGGTTGCAGTGAGCTGAGATTGTGCCATTGCACTCCAGCCTGGGTGACAGAACGAGACTCTGTCTCAAAAATAAATAAAATAAAATAAAATCCCAATCCCCGCAACTGACTGAATGGACCAAGGGGACCCCAGAGAAACCTTAACAACTGAGTTCCCAGCCATGACAGTACAGAAGGCTCAACATACCTCATTATACCCTCACCCTTTTATGGTTCAGACAAAATAATTTATCAGCATTAATGTCAAAATAGAGATCATAAGAATGACAGAAGGGACTTTTTGTAGCAATAAGACACCAAATTAGAATAACATACCTAAGAAATGAGATATCTATGTCCTGTTTTTAATTTGGTATCTTATTGCTACAGAGTCATGCCAGGCAAGGGTTAAGTGACACACCTTACACCTAAACAATAAACTCTGTTCTGCCACAAGGCTTTTTAAAATTTTCTCTCTAGCTAAACAAGCACCTCATAATAAGCAATATTTAAACAATTGCAGTTCACCAACTGACAGACACTGAATAACTGACCCCTCTGTTCCACAAGCCATAACCTCTGCTTTGACTGGACAAGACTGATTTCAGTAACTTTCTTCTGATAAGATATCACTGACCATAGACTGGTTCTGGCCAGTTTACAGAGGCTGTGCACTTGAGTGCATTTATATCCCTGCTTCACCTTTTGACATATGGGCCTAACTATAATGTATTTAAATGCAAAGTCTCCATGCCTAAGTGAACATGGAATGCATGTAGCATGCATGTATGCTCATCACTCATGTGTCAGGACCTCTTTTATGATTATTCAAAGCTCTTCCTTTAACCTGTTGAATATGTAGCCAAGCCAACCCATGCAACAGAAAGTTCCTGCCCCAACCCTTCCTCCTTCAATGTGCGTGCTAACAGTCTTTGCTAAAGGCTAGGCGTCCTAGCCTGTCAGAATGGCCACCTTATAGGGCGCAACCTTCCATAAAAAAGAAAGTCTTCTTTCTTAATTTATACATTTGTGATTCTTAGGTTGACAAAAGTGATGGTTGGACATTTTGTACCTCAGGTCCCCAATCAGATGGTTGACCTGCTCCAAACACAGATTCTACAATGTGCCCCTCCCCCAACCCCCTGCCAGGTAGAAAACCAGAGACAGTACTCAAACTCAAGATCTTAGGACAAAAAATTGACACCTTATCCAGTTTTATTGGTGGACCAAAGCAAAGTCTGTCAAATAGCCTGCCAGCCTGGAGCATGCAGTGGTCTGTGAGACCAGCTAAAACATCAGGCTTATACAACACTGCATGTGTTTTATCTTGTGATTCTATTTCCTTTGTCAAACAACACTTTAGATAGCACAATGCAAAATAAAAGCCCAAAAAACAGGGCAAGAAGGGATAAAAAAGAATGGCCTGATTTCACCAAGGACGCCAAACAAATGAGATTCAGTAGCAAAATCCAGATACCAAACTAAGAAACCAAGAAAATTGAAGAACAAATAGTAGAGGAACTGAACTCATACACACAAAGCAAAATGCAGACTTGTGCTGATTTAGTCACATCAGGAAAGATTCAACAAGCTAAGAAAATCAAGGTGCAAAGGGTCTCCATGTGAACCACTGGATGAAGGATGGGGTCTGTAGTAATAGGCAGTATAGACCAAATCTTGGTGGTGGTCTAGGGATACTGTGCACATAAAGATAACCCAAATGAGAATAACTGGAAACTATTTATTCAGAGTCTGCATATCAAGGGAGTTAGCTACCATTACTTGCATCTGTCAGAGACTCAAAAGCAAAAAGGAAAATGAAAAAATTTTAATGGTGAAAAAAAGAAAAGGCTTCTGGTGCACTCCAATTAGAGGTTGCTGGCATGGGGAAGCTGGAAGTCGGCGAATGAGAAATGGGACAACTTACGTGATTGGTTTGAGGATCTATTTGGTTTTCTCTAGTTGGTTCTCATTGGAGGGAAGAAAAATATTGGCAGTCACTGACCATTCTGGGCTGATTGCTGCAGAGGTTGTGGGTCAAAGTTCTATTTTCAAACATGGTCTGGCCATTGCCTATTTGTATATTTGCTCTCTAACACATGTTCTAATAGCTTTACCTCCTGATTTTTAAGTTTTAGAACTTCAGAAAATGTGTCTATTTAATGAGAATTATTAAAGCTTTTAAATTATTTTTTCTGTCCTCTACAAACATTATGAGAAAAATTCTCCATATTTTATGCATTCTTAATATACTACTATTTCCATTGATAATCTTAGTAAAAGAATGGAAAAAATGTAGTAGATTCAAATTCCTACCTAGCCACTTAGAAGCATAATGATTTTCAAGCTTCTTAACTCCTATGGTTTGAATGTGTTCCCTCCAAAATTTATGTTGAAACTCACTTCTCCATGCAGCAGTCTTAAGAGGATGGGGTCTTTTGGAGGTTATAGGCTATAAAGACTCTGCCCTCATGGATGAGATTACCGCCTCAAAAAAAGTCTGGGGAGGACTATCTAGGCCCTTTTAACTATTTCCTCCGTTCTGTCATGTGAGGACACAGTATTTGTCCTTTCTAGAGGACACAGTGTTCAGGACGTCATCTTGGAAATAGACACTGGGCTGTCAGCAGACTGGGCTCTCAGATCTTGGATTTCCCAGCCTCCAGAACTGTAAGAAAGAAATTTCTTTGTTTGTAAATTATCCAGTCTCAAGGAAATTTGTCATAGCAGCACAAACAAACTAACATTAATCACAGCTTCACTTCTCTCGATGTAATATAAAGATAATGTACTGGTCACTTCTCAGGATTGACCTCATAAAGGAGAACCTTTTCTCCCTTACCCAATGTGTATATTATTTCAGCATCCTTGGAACCATGTATCTTTGATATAAATTGCATTTGTTGGCTACAAATTTGATTTCTTCGAATCTTGTAAGTATATCTCTGTGATTGAATTCATGATGGTCTTTTGTCATTAGGGTTAAAATTTAAAGGTAAGGTTTTATGTATGAGACAGAGCCAGAAGAGGAGAGAAGTGATTCTGTAGAAAGCTTTTTTTCTTCTTTACATCTAGACTGCGTACTTCTCTTCTTTCTTGTAAGTTTCCCTTAGATAGGTGCTGCCGTACCCTCTGCAACCACAGCTGGGACATGGGTTGTGAATAGGCTGTGAATCCTAATAATACCCTTTAACCTCTAGAAACATATGCGGAAGAGCTGAGAGGGACGTGGGAAGAGAATATGCTCCGGGACTGAGGTGGCTGTTGAAGTGGGATAAGGAGACGCTAAGAAACATTTTTACGTGCAACATATCAGGGAAAGCTTACTGGGAAGAAACGTTCAGGGTCCTGGAGCCCCGGTCGGCACGGCCCAGGTCCTGTGCAAACCTGCTTGTCCACAGGCATCAGCCTTCCTTTGAACGCCTCCCCAGATGCTCTACCCTCAGACCTAGCAAAGACCACCACCAGTATCTAGTGTAGAGCCTAGAGCCGGGCGTGCTGCGTCTGCGCGTGCGCGCACTGTCTGCGCCTACCGAAAGGGCGCGCGCATGGCCAGACCTGCCACTTCCCGGAGTTACCCGTGGCGTCCTAGCCAGCCTCAGAAGTCGCGGTTTGTAAGCAGCAGGGCTTTGGTGCAGGGAGGCCTGGGTGAGACTTGCCTCTGTGGCCTAGCGCTAGTGTAGGGGTTCCCGCGAAAAGCAAGAGGAGAGTTGCGCACCCGGACTTGTCCGGGTCATTCTCAACCCTCTCCCCAAAGAGATGAAACGGTTTGTTCTTCCGTAGTAGAAAGGGTCAGGGCCCCGGGCTCCTCCGGGGCTAGAGGAGAGGCCGCATAGCACTGGCTAGAGACCAGGGATGGGAACCGCGCCCCATGACAGAGCTCGGGAAAATCCACCGGGGTGCCGCGTGGTAACGTGACGAAAGTGCAGTACTGTTTTCCTCAACCTGGGAGTCAAAAAGGACAGGTAATAGGACGGCGAGGCGGGAGGCAGACAGGGCCCAATGAGGCTGCGCCGGGGACAGATTCTGGGAGAGGCGCGCCCCCAACCCCTACTCTGCCCCCTGCGGAGCTGGTGAAGTTCTCAAGTCTTGAGAGGTCCGTCTGTCCTTCCAAGGCTCCTTCAGTCAGGGATACCAAAGCACCTGAAAGAGTATCCTCACAGAATCCAGGCCAAGTGTGCCTGTCAGTCTTTCATGAATCAAATCTTTAAAAACAGCCCAAAGGATGGTAGGTGGGGAGCCGGCTGGGAGTGGAGGGATGGCACTCCTTTTTTCCCAAGGCACCATTATAGGCCACTTGATTGACAACTTTAAAGTGGTTTCACTAAATTTAAATAGCAATAGAAATAAAATATATATGATTTCCTTTTTAGTAGACACATTTCTGATGATCAAATATTAGCATATTGTGGAAAAGTATGTAATAAGAGAAACTCCCGTATTATATTCACTTCTGAATTAAAAGTATTTTTGATAAAGCCAACGTAGTTTTTTTTTAATAGACAATTTTTAAAGCAGTTTTAGATTCACAGCAAAATTGAAAAGACGATACAAAGATTTTCCATATCCTGCTTGGTCTCACATATGCATAGGCTACGCTATTATCACCCCACCAGAGTTGTACATTTGGTACAGTTGATTAACCTACATTGTCACATCATTATCACCCAAAAGTCCATAGTTTACATTAGGGTTCCTCTTGGTCTTGTATATTCTATGGATTTGGACAAATGTATAATGATGTATCCCCCTTTACTGTAGTGTCATATAGAATAGTTTCACTGCCCTAAAACTTACCTCTACTTCACCCTCTCATCTCTCCCTTTCCCCAATCACTGGCAACCACTGATCTTACTGTCTCCAGAATGTCATATACTATAGTTGGAATCATACAGTATGTAGCCTTTCAGACTAGCTTCTTTCACTTTGTAATATGCATTTAAACTTCCTCCATGTCTGTATTGGGCTGTTCTTGCACTGCTATAAAGGAATATCTGAGACTGGGTTATTTTAAGAAAAGAGGTTTAATTGGCTCACAGTGCTGCAGGATTTACAGGAAGTCTACCAGCATCTTCTGGGGAGGCCTCAGAAAGCTTCCAGTCACGGCAGAAGGCAAAAGGGAAGCAGGCATATCACATGGCAAAAGCAGGAGCAAAAGAGAGAGAGAGAGGGAAGGTGCTATACACTTTTAAACAACCAGATCTTTTGAACTCACTCAGTCACCAGGACAGCACCAAGAGGATGGTGCTAAACCATTCATGAGAAATCCACCCCCATGATCTAATAACCTCCCACCAGGCCCCACCTCCAGTACTGGAGATTCCAATTCCACTGAGATTTGGGCAGGGACAAATATCCAAACTATATCACTAGCCATGTTTTCATGGCTTGAGAGCTTTTTAGTACTCAATAATATTTCATTATCTGGATGTGCCACAGTTAAAGAATACTACTCAAGCATCAAAGGACATTTTAGTTGCTTCCAAGTTTTGGCAATTGTGAATAAAGCTGCTATAGAAACCTGTATGCATGAAATTATAAACCATAAACAATAGGCTACCTAATAAGCAGTGTTACAATTTATAACATTTTGTGAAAACTGCAGAACTTTGAAATCTTAAAACCTACGTCAAAAGAGACAATGGGTTTTATTTGGGTTTCTGCAATAGTTTCAGTAATAAAGCTCAAGAGCAAATTCTTCTGTCACTTCACTATCTCACAAAATAGTAGTATATGTTATCTCGTTAAATTCTTGCAACAACTATTGTAAATTAAGAAGAGCAGGTAAGATCTACCCCTGATAGAAGACATTGAGCCTAAAAAAGTACTCAACCAACAAAATATAGCTACCTGTAAGACCCAGGGCAAGAACTACTAATCTCTTTTGACTTCAGGACTTTCCATCATATCATGCCACCTCCAGTTAAAGAGTTGTACTAACCTCAATTTAGGACTCCGCAGCCATAATTTTTCAATTAAACACTAATATAAAATTAATACGGCTCAAAAGTTTGAAGTTGATAGATATATACTAATTTTATATAATTATTAATACAGTTATAAGCTGCTATCTCCTATCAGAAGTATGTAATATGGTTGCTACTTTATATTAATAGCAGTATTAAAATAGTAATGCTATTTATCAGTGTTATTTCTTTGTTGATCCATGGTTTACTTAAAAGTATCTTAAAATAGAATTTTTAAATATTTGTGGATTTTCCAGAAATACACGTTTCGCTGAATTCTAATTTCAATCTGTTGTGATCAGAGAACATATACTGCTACATTTCAAATCTTTTAATGTATTCATATTTAAAATTCTTTTTACTTAGCAATCACCAAGTAATTTCTCAGGAAAAATAAGAGACCCAACTGTACTTTTTCTCAAATACAGCAATCTGGTTAAAAATTCTGATAGTAGATTTTCTCTTGTTCTGCTAACGAGAAAAGTAGGATTATGAAAGTTCTGACAATGAAAGAGCAATTTAAAAATCAATATGTAAATTTATTAGTTTCTTTTTTTATTTTTTGGACTGTGTTTCACTTTATCCCCCAGGCTGGAGTGCAGTGGAGTGATATTGGCTCACTACAACCTCTGCCGCCCGGGTTCAAGCAATTCTGCCTCAGCCTCCCAAGTAGCTAGGATTACAGGCACCTGCCACCATGCCCAGCCAATTTTTGTATTTTTAGTAGAGACTAGGTTTTACCATCTTGGCCAGGCTGGTCTTGAACTTCCGACCTCGTTATCTGCCCACCTCAGCCTCCCAAGCAATCCCATGCCTGGGATTGCAGGCATGAGCCACCACACCCAGCCTAGTTTCTCTTAAAATTCAAGAATTTTGGATTATTTAAGAGTGATTTATGAAATTATGAAATAATATCTGAAGCAAAACTTTCTTTCATAATAGCTGAAGATTTTATCACTCCTCTCCAAATAAACAACTAGAAGAAAAGAAACCAATAAGTACATAGACAATTTGAATGACACTACCAGTCAACTTAACCTATTAACATATATAGAATATTATACCTAATGCCTGAAGATTGTACATTCTTTTTATATATTCTGAAACATTCCCCAAGGTAGACCACTGGACCATAAACAAATCTGAATACATTCAAAAGACTTGAAATGCAACAGTATATGTTCTCTGATCACAACAGATTGAAATTAGAATTCAGCAAATCATATATTTCTGGAAAATCTACAAATATTTAAAAATTATATTTTAAGATCCTTTTAAATAAGCCATGGATCAAAAAAGAAATCACAAAGGAAATTAGAAAACATTTTAAATGATTGATAGTTAAAGTATAACATACTGAAATGTGGGATGAAGCTAACTCAGTGATTAGAGAGAAATATGCACCTTTGAATACTTATATACAAACGAAGACAATGAATGACCTAAGCTTCCAACTTAAGCTTAAAAACGTAGAAGGAAAAGTATAAAAATAGAAATCAATGAAACATAAAATGTACATAAGGTAGAGAAAAATAAATAAAACCAAACAGTTCTTTAAAAAGAGTAACCAAATTGATAAACCGTATCTAGCCCATATAAGAGAGAGACAGAGAAAGAGAGAAAGCAAATGACCAATATCAGGAATGAAAGGGGAGATACCACATAGACATTTAAAAAATAGTAAGATAATACTATGAAAAACTTAATGCTAACAATTTTAACAACTTAGCTAAAATGGGCAAATTCTTTAAAATCTAAAATATACCAGAGCCAAGATGAGTAGAAGTAGAAAATATGAATATCTAATAAATAATAATTAAAAAAAATTTTTTTCTACCTCATGCCCTTTTCTTTATTATTTTTGATCCTCTTGTTCTCCTGCCAGTGAGTTTGCCTGGAAGATGGTACAACTTTTGTGCTTTTTGAGGATATCTTTTTAGTTTTCAATTAACCAAATAATAATTACATATACTTATGGGGTACAATGTGATGTTTTGATGCATGTATTTATTTTAGAATGCTCAAATCAGACTAATTAACGTATCTTCCACCTCAAATATTATCATTTATTTCTGATGAAAAATTTAAAATATTCTTTTAGCCATTTTGAAGTATTAAATACATTATTATTAACTATGGTCATCATACTGTGTAAAAGATCACCAGAATTTATTTCTCCTGTTCAACTGAAACTTTGTACAATGACCAACATCTTCACTTTTTCTACCTCCCAACCCCCATGAGCATGTGGTAACCACCATTCACTGTCTACATCTGTGAGTTCCAATTTTTTAGATGCCACTTGTATGTGAGATCTTACAATATTTGTTTCTTTGTGCCTAGCTTATCTCACTTAGCAAATGTCACTAGCTTATTACAAACGACAGTTTCCTGCTTTTTAAAGTCTGGATAGTATTCTGTTGTGTATATATACCACATTTAGGAGAAACCTTTAGGTTCTAAAGTTCACTATGTTCAAGAAGTCCATATAGTACCATTATATAAGTAAAAAATAAGTATAAGTCTGTTCTTCTAAAAATTACAATACATATTTTACAACACAATGTACAATGCAAATATACTATGCATATAGACTATGTTATAGTAATTAGATTCAACATCTATTTAGAGAGTGTTTCTCATTGGTTTCTCTACTTAGGAAAATATGCCGAGGGTAAGGAGATTTACTGTGAACTTAAATCATATTAATTGTAGCCTTTATATCAGTTATGCCTAATAAAATGTTATCTTGAATTAATTACTGCAGTAATAATGAAATCTTCCTGGTACCTCTTGGTTCTAAAATGAATATGCATATATATATGTAATTAAATATATATGTAATTATACATATTATCTAAAGATTATATATACATATACAAATGTAATACTATATAATATAAATATATACATGTATTACATAGAAACATTTATATATTTATAAAGCTAATATATATATTAGTAATTTTATATATATAGAGAGAGAGAGAAGACTATAT